GAGCGGTTTAAAAAAATGCAATTTTACAGGTAAAAACTTATAGCATGCCATCAAATTTCATGTAGCAGCACTATGAGTCTGAAATGTGCAGTCTGAATTGTAGCTCTCTCTCAAGATGTGCTGAAATGATGATCACAGAAATGAGAAAACATCTTATTTTGAATGTATAAAAGCACAGTTTGACTGCTAGCTGCATCCTAACAGTTTTAAGCCCAGTGGCATATTCTAACAACAGTGCAGCATAGCTTTGTAATGCTGGCTTTTGGAAATATTGAGCTTGAATTTGTGGGAAAGTTGGCCAGGGAATTTGTTAATCAAACAGAGAAAGCATTTGCATAATGTGCTAGGAAAGCCTGTTTTGTGATGCCTCTGTATCACACACTCTATCTCCCACCTGTCCTAATTAAGCTGGAATAGATCAGATCATTTGAGAGTTTGCTTTGAAATTTTATTCCATGGTCTCTATGAAGGTAAGCAGTGTTCACAGCCAGAGTGCCAAAACTAGACTCCAGAACTGAAAAAATGTTTCTGTTCTCACCATATTTAGTGAAATCAAACATTCAAAAGTAAAATTACGTGGTGTCTTGTGGGCAGACATTTTCATTAGGTTTTTTTTTTTTTCCCCTCCATTTGTATATCTCCAGGTGGAGTTTGAAGGCCTGAAACATGAAATCAAAAGGCTCGAAGAGGAAACAGAATTTCTCAACAGCCAGCTAGAAGATGCCATACGGCTGAAGGAGATCTCCGAACGCCAGCTTGAGGAGGCCTTAGAGACACTGAAGACAGAGCGGGAGCAGAAGAACAATCTTCGTAAGGAGCTCTCTCACTACATGAACATCAATGACTCCATGTACAACAGCCACCTGAACATCTCTTTGGATGGATTGAAGTTCAGCGATGAAGCCACAGAGCCCAATAACGATGAAATCATGAATGGATTTGAACAAAACTGCCTCAGCAAACTCAGCAATGGCAAAAATAGTACATCGACGCCCAAGAAAAATGAAAGCTTCCCTCCAGCCCCAAGTCTAGTTTCAGATCTTCTGAGTGAATTAAACATTTCTGAAATCCAGAAGCTGAAACAGCAGCTTGTACAGGTAAATGGGTTTCCTAAACAACTGTGTACTTCCAAACAGCTGCTACAGTTTATTTGGGCTGTAATTTCAGTCTTTTCAATATCTCATGTGACCACAATACAGTATGAACTATATTTGGAAAGGCTCTGATTGATTTAGAATTTGAGGATGTTAAGTGTTTGTCAGTGGAAAACCATAGCTTTTTTTCCTTTTTCTTTTCTTTTCTTTTCTTTCTTTTTTTTTTTATGCAGAGAATCTAGCAGTCATGTCCCATGTTGTAATGCATCTTCTGTGCAGTACATGCTGTGTCTACTTCACTATGTCACTAGTGAGAAAGGCAGTATTTTGTTCAAAAATTGATAGTTACTCCAGTCATCCTCATGAAAAGGAGTTTTGTACACCATAACTATTTTCTGTAATTAGCTCAAAGAACTTGAAGTTTTAATTGGTATCAAACATTTCTGTGTTATATTTGTGCTATTGGGAGGTTGGAGAGTTCGAAACAAGGTACATATTTGTGTTGTGTAGTTATTAGATTTAAAGTTATTTTCTCAAGCATTTTTGAAGTGTTCTGTAAGAAAAAGCCTTTGTGGAAAAATTTGCTGGATTCTTTTCAAAATTAGAACTTTCAGAGGAGAAACTTCAGAAGTTTCCGTATTTCTGAGTCTTTCATGAAGCTCCAAGCTTCCACCATAGACTAGCTGCATGTTTTCTAATATTTACTTGATAATTTGCAAGATAACAGTAAACTTCAGCTAATCTTAAGCTGAAAGGATGTTTTCACAGTGCGTTTTGAAGTGGAAATGAGAAAGAATTGGCAAGGAACACTGTGCTTGAGTTTTAGAATAAATTAAATAGTCTTTTCTATAATGTGCAAGTGATCGGATTTCTGTAATCATATGAACCTTGGTTAAGTTGCTGTCTCTTATAATAAAACCTTTTAAGTGATACAGTTCCCTTTACGTAGATGTCTGTGTTCATACATTTCAGATGGAAAGAGAAAAGGTGAACTTGTTAACAACGCTACAAGAATCTCAGAAGCAGCTGGAAAATACACGGGGCGCCCTCTCAGAGCAGCATGAGAAAGTTGGCAGACTGACAGAAAACCTGAACGCAATGAAGAAGCTCCAGGTCAGCAAGGAACGTCAGTCTGCCCTTGACAATGAGAAGGAACGAGACAGCCATGAAGATGGAGACTATTATGAAGTTGACATCAATGGGCCAGAGATCCTGGAATGCAAGTACAAAGTGGCTGTGGCAGAGATTACTGACCTAAAAGAAGAGCTTAAAAATCTTAAAGCCAAATACAAAGAATGTGAGTCTAAGTATGAGGAAGAGAAGAGCAGATATGACACTGAGAGCCAAGCTCTCACTGAAAAGATCACCTCACTAGAAAAATCCAGTAAGCATGATAGAGAACAGGTGGCCAGACTGGAGAAGGAGCTGAAAAAAGTCAGTGATGTTGCTGGAGAAACACAGGGCAGCCTCAGTGTGGCCCAAGATGAACTAGTCACCTTCAGTGAAGAACTGGCCAATTTATACCACCACGTCTGCATGTGCAACAATGAAACTCCAAACAGGGTGATGCTGGATTACTACAAGGAAGGTAAAGGCGGACGCAGTAGTCCCGAGACCAAGGGAAGAAGGTCTCCTATTCTTCTTTCTAAAGGGCTGTTAACTATAGAGCTAGGAAAGGCAGAGAATGGAAGTGGTGACAGCAGCCCATCTCCAGTGTCATCTCTGCCATCTCCTGTGTCAGATCCTCGGAAGGAACCAATGAACATTTACAACCTGATCGCTATAATCCGGGATCAGATCAAACACCTGCAGGCTGCTGTGGACAGAACAACTGAATTGTCCAGGCAGCGTGTTGCCACTCAAGAACTTGGGCCAGTGGTGGACAAAGACAAGGAAGCTCTTATGGAAGAAATCCTGAAGCTGAAGTCCTTGCTGAGCACCAAGAGAGAACAGATAGCAACTCTGAGAACTGTGCTGAAGGCCAACAAACAGGTAACCCGGTGTTACAGATGTGAAGGTTATAGTGTCAGGGAATTGGGTCACAAACACAAGAGAATTTATCTTTGAGGTCATACTGCCACATCTTCAACTCAGTAGGGCTTTTGTTGCTGATATTTGTTTGGTACAGTGCTGAGGCAGGCTGTTTCATTAGAGGCACACAGCTGTCCCACTGTAAAGCTGAGAACTGGGGCTTTAACTGACTTTTGCTTGTCACATACTGATGAGACTTTTTATTAAGCTTAAGGTAGCTTCAACCTACTGCCTGTCTGAATTATATCAGGTTATATTTAATCTAAGACACCTAAAATGAAGAGGTAAATCTTATTTTCTACTGGAAAGAATTCTATTAGTTACCCTTAAAAGAGTTCTTAATCTTATGTATTCTTCTTTCTCAAATTTCAAAATAAAAGAAAACCTTTCAATGTGAGGATGTGATAGAAGAACATGGTCAACGTTACAGGGGTGAAAGGTAAAATTAGTCTTTGGGGATTGGGCTGTGCCATTTGATACATGGTAGCAGTCCAGTAGATGAAAATAAGTGCCATTAGACACCATGTGACATGCTTCATTTTCTCCTCTAAAGTTACAGTAATGCAAATCGAAGTTATCTTAAAAAAAAAAAAAAAAGTATAGTGTTGTTTAAGAAATATATACATACTTTGTTTTCTTTTGCACATTTTAATAAAGGTGTCCCAAAATGTAAGATAGGCAAAGTGCTCTAAGGGTTAGAAAACTGTACAAGTGATTGATGAATGCGTTTGAATATAGAGATACTAAATAGGCTTTTTTTGTTCTTTGTGTTGAAGTATGTAAACTTTAATTTCTTTTAGTAGTTGGAGATAGGTGTCACTAAATGTATATTCTGTAACTTCCTAGATGCTGCTGTGTGGTTAGTAGGAGACCCATATGTCCAATCTGTTTCCAGTGTTGAAAAATGAAATTTTATTTAATCTGTACAAGAAAAGTTGACCAGAAGTTTAACATTCCAGTGCAAAGTAAATGTTTTGTTATGTGAAGAGTGATTAGAAATATCTCAGCCAGCCACTTTGTGAAAAGTTTCATTAACTAATATGTTTCTGTTCTTCTTGGTAAACAATAGACTGCAGAGGTAGCCCTTGCCAACTTAAAAAGCAAGTATGAAAATGAGAAAGCTATGGTTACAGAGACAATGATGAAGCTGCGAAATGAGCTGAAGGCTTTGAAAGAAGATGCTGCTACTTTCTCATCCCTGAGAGCAATGTTTGCTACAAGGTAAAGAACATACAAACTCTGCCAAATGTCATTCCTTGCTTGTTTGGGGGAAGAGCTGAGCATCCTGCCCTCCTACCCATGCACAGAGTGGCAGGGTGAGGTGCCTTTTTCCAAGTTTGTTGCTTACAGTGTTTGTCTGTGATATGTTTCTGTTGATGAGGAAAATACCAGGGATGTAGTATGTTGCCACAAAACAAGAAGTTGTTGTGGTGGTATTTATTTAATTTGGATGCAAGATTATTGCTGGTTCTTGAAAGCCATTAACTCTGAGAAGGAGTGACATTTAACAGTGCAAAATGAGCGTTTATTACGCAATGAAAATGTGAATCTGCTTGACCTGTAATGATCCAGAAAAAAGTAGAGATGTTGGAAACATACTATTATTTTTAGGTTGCCCATCCTGCACTTGACATCTCTGTCATTTCATTTACCTCTGTGAGCTGATTTGGGTTGCACATCTTTGGAACTTGCTTCTGTTTCTTAGTTGTGCTTTGTAGTGTTAACAGACAAAAAATACCTGCTGACACATCATGTGATGTAGAAGTTAAATGCTATTTTGATCTGCATGTTGCTTACTGCTTACTGTCACTGATTTCTTCTGTAAGTCTACGCATTTCTTTTGGGGAATGTTGAGGCAACAACATCATGTTACAAAATCCAGATCTGCTTCACAGCTAAGGAATGTTCAGTTGGCTCCTGTGTGGAGATGATCCTGGAAAACAGGAAAAGAAAAAGCTGTATCTAAAAGTTGTCAGTCGCAGCTTGGTGGGATTTACAGGGACATTGCTGGCAATGTTCATTTGCCTGTGTATTCCATGCATTGCCTAAAGAAGATGGAGAAGAGAGACTGTAAAGAATGCTGTTTAATGTAAACTAGACACTTGCTTTTAAGCTAACCCAAGGAGATGGGAGAGTCTGTATGTGCTGTATGCTGCTTCATTCTCTGCATTGTCTAGACACTTTTAAAAAACAAAACAAAACAAAAAAACCCAAACCAACAAACCAGAAAAGTTTTCTTTCTGTCCTCTGCTAAAAAGTACCATAGTAAGGAATCACGAGGGTGCTTATGAGGATACCTGAGGCTTTTCTGTATAGTCTTTTGTGGGGGTGGTTCTGCAGCAGCTCTCATGTTCCTTGAGTAATCTTAGGCTTCCTGGTGATTCAGCGTTTCCCAGCAGTATCTATGCATGTGGGTAAGCATGAAAAGGAGAAATGGATACCAAGGAATGCTAAAGGTTGAACTGTGGCAGCTTGTTATGCTAGAGAAAGGAATGCCCTGTACAGGCTGGATTTGTCCTACTTTCTCCGCGCCCCACTCGTGGGTTGAGATAAAGACAGTTTAATAAGTAAAGCAAAAGCCGCGTGGACAAGCAAAACAACACAAGGAATTCATTGACTCCTTCCTATCGGCATGCAGGTGTTCAGCCATCTCCAGGAAAGCAGGATTCCATCGTATGTAATGACTACTTGGGAAGACAAAATGCCATAACTCTGAATCTCCCCCCCCCCCCCCCCCCCCCCCCTTTTTCTGGAGTGTAATTAATATGCAGAAATTGCAATCTCTTTGTTAATTGTAGATCAGCTTGAAGCTGAGAGGAAAGAGGAAAAGCATACTGTTAACTTTCAGGTATTTTTCCTAGATGCAGATAGTTGGCTGTCTAAATTACATGTAACTGCAGTATGTTTTCCCTACGTGTTAATTTTCCTGCCCTAGTGTAAAAGTGAGAGAGTGAGTGTGAACTGGTTTGGAGAGGAATAATTGTCACAGAAATGCCAGAGGGGTAGTTCTCTCTCTGCCTTTCTCTTGGTGCATTATCTAGAGGTCAATCTTGTCCTTTTACTGGGAAGACAGTAATGAAGATTCCTTGGCATGGGGAAATTGGAGGCAAAATAAAAGTTTTTCTGAAAGCAACAGACTTCAGAGCTCTGTCCTGGGAGCTGTCACGGGTAGTTGTGGTTGATCAGAGGCAGGAGTGAGCTCTGTTTGGGGATGCACAACAGACTCCCCTGCCTAAATGAACAACTATAATTTCTGAATTTATGCTTAGTAACTGTAGTGAAAAAAATAAGGGGCCAAGAGCTGAGGATGGAGTCATGGTCCGCTGAGTCTTCCGTCTTGTGAGTGCATGCATTCCTGATCGTTGCATGGCAGTTAAGCAGCTGGGCCTTGTATTTTTGCGTCTAGCCTGAGACAGTGGCAGTTGCACAGAGCATGAAGAATTGCTTCTTTCTCCCAGTGTGCCCAGTGTTTCAGGTGCCACAATAGCTATCAAGACCTGTTACTGCAGGTAGGGTACTGTCACCCCTGGTCTCTGGTCAGAGAAGATTAGTAGCTTGGCAGTTTACCAAGTGCATTCCTCTGTCAGTGGTTGTTTCATCTAAGTCTCCATTTCAGGTAAGGTAGGTTTGGAAGGGGTGTTCCTAGGTGCTTTGGTGAAGATAACCTCAAAAATTGTTCTGGAGTCTGATCTTTAGGTGTGTTTCAAATATCAGAAGTATGTAACAGCCCAATTTGTCTTCATCATCGCAAGCAACCTGCTAATGGAGCACCTCTTAACAGTCTACAGTAAGTCGTGTTTCTTCTCTGGCCAAGAGGTTTGTATCAGCAGAGACTAATAACGAGTAATGGGGCCTTTACCCCACTGCGTTTGTTTCAGTGTTGTGTTTGAATGTGGTACAAAGCAGACTGTTGCACACAGATCTGTATTTTCTACAGGAAACCGCCCATTTTGTTTGATAGCAAGAGAGCTGTAACAATACATGAGAGTTGAAGGCTGGGGATGAATATAGCAACTGACCTAATTTCCTTTTCCAATAGGTTAATCCCACTAATTTGACAATACTACCAGCTATTTTTAATAAGTAATGCACATATAGTAAGACTTCAGCCCACAGACAAAGAAAGACTTGCAGAACACAGATTAACAGCTTCCAGTATTGAGGGACTGCTGCAACACTGTATGCCTAAAATTAAGCTGTCGTACGAAGGAATAAATCATGATATGTGTAATGTACTATGGATGTACATTCAATAGCTGTCCTGTTAAAGTCCAGATTTTCTTACTCAACACACACATCCCTGTTGTATGTGCAAACAGACTGAAAGCACTGGAAGCCAAATTAAAATCTGCCCTGTAGAGCTGAAAATGGAATTTATCTGCTTAATTAGACTGTAATAGCTATGTATATATCACTATTACAATCAAACATTTTGATGATTCATTAGTAAACTCTCTCTTCACCAGAAAAAAAAGATGTGATCACTTTAGATCCATTTAGATCCATTTAAAATCTGAAGAGAAGCTGAACGTCATTCTTGTTCTACTTTGTCAGGTAGGTTTGCACTTGCTAACAGGCAGCTTGGGTGCTGCAAAATGTAAATAAACAAGGCCTGGTGGTGATGCAGCAAATATTCATTAGGGTGCAGCCTTCAGCTTTATTACAAGATGTGAAGTGGTACTTCTTTCTCTTTATGGATACCATCTGGTTCTTGTACTTTACCTGCTATCTGGAGCAGCTGTTTGAAAGAATATTTCCCAAAATAGTCTTTCTCAAAATTCATCATATAAAATGCACTACTGTGGTTACTGTTTTGAGGGGGTTATGAATTTATTTACTTAGGAACTGAAAACAGAATAGCTTGTGTTCGCATGATGAGAGCGAACATTGTAAAGAAAGCAGTCACATTTACAGTACACTTGCAACGTTGAACTACAATAATATCTAGGGTGGGTATGTTCTGTATTTTAAAGAATAAATCCTTGCAAATTGGCCAAAGAAAATATGGCTTCACGCAAACCAGTCATTAAAATTTTTACCTTAGACAGTATAAACTAATAACGAGTTTGTTTTCAAATGGAAAATTTCCATTGAAATTTCCAAAAGGCAGAATAAGTCTTTAAAATGTAGTGTTTACTCTCAAAGTTTGAACTGTCTCTGAGTTTTAATTGCATTTCTATAACAAAAAAAGTATAGAGAGCACATATTTGCAGTTAACTCATTTCACTCAGGTCTTTGGTCAAGTATATATGAATCAAGGGGCTACTTTCAAAGTGTTTGTTGAGTATTTATTGAGTTTAATGTGACCAATGCCCTATGTTAACAGCACCAAGTAAGGAAAAAGTGAGTGAGGAGTTCGCAGCCTAGAGGTAAATATCACTGGTGGCCTTCAGATCGCTTCAAAGTGGTGCATAGGGAGCACAGAGCCAGGAGCTGCTGCTGTTTTTTCCTGGCAGAAATATTTAACCTCCAAAACTATTTTATGGTAGGCTTAATTTTTTTTAACTCTCATTTAGTAGGTTAAGAAAATGGTAAGATTTTTTTTTTTAATACAGAACAATAGAAATCCCTACTTAAGTGTGAGGAGGGGGGGGCTAGTAGCAAATTTGAGATAAATTAATTCATCATCTTCTAAAATATTGTCAGAATAAAGACTGATTCCTTTCTTTGCTATATGAAGAGCTTCTCCCAAGTGCTTTGAGGGAACTTGAAATGAATATGTCCTGTTTGCTAATGATTTGGGGTGGGAGCGAAGCATGGTTTCCTTGTCTTGTAGGTCAAGATATGTTTCTAGATTGCCTGTAAGCAATTTGTCATTCAAACTTGCAAGCCCATTAGAGCTCAGGTTTCTTAAAATTGATTATGGGGGAAAAAATACTGTATCAAAACAGATGAGAAAAATCCAGCTTGGAATTTAAGCTTGAGGGTTGTTTAGCTTAACTTTTCAGTAAGGAAGGAGGGAGTAAGAAAACTATAGGTTTCTGCTAGTTGTTTGGAGAACACGTCTGAATCTGCAATTTCCAGAGTACACTGCAAGTGATAGTGAAGCACAGGTACACAGATTCATAACTAGCAATTCAGGTTAAAGTCCTTAAAGGATGGTTAGATGAAGAGCAGGAGGCCAGCATGGCCATCACTTCATGGCCAAGAAAAGAATGCACTGAGAAAAGCTTGTCATGGACTGGACAAGAAGAGAGTTGAAACACAATTTTGCATTTTAA